GCAAATTAATCCATTTTAATTTGCAAAAGAATGATAAGCAAAATTATGGTTCAATTTTTCATTCATTAAATTAAAGCACAATAATCAATTTAAATGAGCTTCATAGCTGAAATAGCCCAAGAATGTTTAATAGACGATGATAGTGTACAAAACATTCAATTATTAAAAAAAAAAAGATGTGTCACCTTTAACTAATGGGCCATTAGCCATTTAAAAAATCCCTTTCTTTCTTAAACAGATAATCTAAAATGTTTTTTCAAAATGCTGGACAATGTTGAATTACACGTTACTCATTGAATTACTCAATTAAGACTCATTACTTTAGGGATAGAAATTATGTGACAGCTGGTCTGAAAAACTTATAGTGGGACTACACAGACTGCACACCTCCCAAACACCGACTGTTGAACCAAATGGACTGATGTACATTACTCGATGTACAATCGGTCTTACTGAATTACTCAAGGTCAAGTGACTGACTTCAGAACCACAGGCTGAGATGTAGCTGGGATTTTCACTCCCTCACCCTATCCCACAATCCATTACCATCTGTGGAGCCACATTACTTTCTGTCACTGTGTTGCTGGGTCCTCTCACCTTTACTGTCAGTTCTGGTGCTTACCATCCATTACTATTACTGATCTCTGACTCTCTCCATCTAGCCACATCCAAATGCTATACTGCTATCCAACATTTCTTTTCTCTGTTTCTTCATCATTTTTGTCTCTTCTGTTTCCTGCTCTACTCAGCTACTAGACAAAAGAGAGCTACTTCACAGGCACAGTAAGCCAATCAATACACTCCTTTCCTTCTAATGAAAAAGAAAAAAATCAAATTATGTCAGAATGACCTCTGGCTTTTCTGAAGCATTTCCATCACAATCTGATATTCAAAGGTTCATTCATTTTTACAAAAAAAAATGTGATAGTTTCTTTTATTTCTAAGTTTGAAGTTACTGCAGATACCTTTTCTAGACACTGAAGCTTTTACATGATAGTATTTTAGGGTTAAAAAAAGCAACAGAAGACATAGTGGCTGCCTTTTTAACTCTTAAAAGATTTATCGCCGAAACCGGTTTGGCTCAGTGGATAGAGCGTCGGCCTGCGGACTGAAGGGTCCCGGGTTCGATTCCGGTCAAGGGCATGTGCCTGGGTTGCGGGCACATCCCTAGTGGGAGATGTGCGGGAGGCAGCTGGTCGATGTTTCTCTCTCATCTATGTTTCTAACTATCTCTCTCCCTTCCTTTCTGTAAAAAATCAATAAAATATATTTAAAAAAAAAAAGATTTATCAAAAAAAAAATCTCCAAGAATTTCTATGAAAATCAGATCTTAAAACAAATGGATAGTACTCCAAATGGATGGATAGATATATATCCCCAAAGCATATAAAAAGATCCTTAACATCACCAATCATTAGGAAAATGCAAATCAAGAGCACAGGAGATACAACTTCATACCCATTAGGTTGGTTATTACCAAAAAACAGAAATTCTATTTGGAGAGGATGTGAAGTGTTGTTGAGGAGGGGAGAAATTGAAACCTCTATGTTTTGCTGGAGGAAATATAAAATAATCTAGCCACTGTGGATAATACTACGGCAATTCCTAAAGAATTAAACATAGAAGTACCATATGATCTAGTAATTCCACTTCTGGGAATATACCTAAAATAAATGAAAGTAGATTCGCACAGCCATGATCATAGCAGCATCATTCATAGTAACCAAAGGTGTGAGCAACACAAGTAACCACAAACAAATGAAGGGATAAACAAAATGTGAAATATACATACAATGGAATATTATTCAGCCTAAGGATATTTTAACGCATACTACAACATGGATAAACCTCGAAGGCATTGTGCTAAGTGAAAAAACTCAGTTACAAAAGGGCAAATCTTGTATGATTCCACATATATGAGGCACCTAGAGTACATACAAAATTCGCAGAAACAGAAGTAGATTGGGGGTTGCTAGGGTTGAGGGAAGGGCGGTAATGGGAGTTAATGTTTAAAGGGTACCGATTTTTAGTTGAGGAAGATGAAAAGTTCTGAAGATGGATGATAACGATGGTTGTATATCAGTGTGAATGTACTTAATGCCATTGAAATGTACAGTCAAAATAGTTACAATAGCAAAAGTTATGCATACTTTACCACAATAAAAAAAAAATGAATGAAGTTGAAATAGAGCAGAGAAGTACTTGCTACTTAGTTACCCATGGCTATTATGCAAACCCAATCTGACTTTAAAACAGCACAAGTTATGTACAATGAGTAAATGGTTCTTGACTTCGTTGGTGCTGTTGGAAACATCTCTACATAACTAAGAATGTCAGATTCTCCTCATGGAGGTCAGCTTGGGAAAGCTGAGAAAAATAGGTTGTCCATAAATAAGACTGCTCATGCACACACCAAACCACTAAATAAATACTTGTTCGCAAGATTTTTGCACCTTAATGCCTCCATTCCTACATCCTTGCTCCTCCAAGATAGACCAAATGTTCTCTTGCCTCCAAGCCTTCTGTTAGCCTAAAACAGTGGTCGGCAAACCGCAGCTCTCGAGCCACGTGTGGCTCTTTGGCCCCTTGAGTGTGGCTCTTCCACAAAATACCACGTGCGGGCGCGCATGTACAGTGCAATTGAAACTTCGTGTCCCATGCGCAGAAGTCAGTTTTCAGTAAGGAGATAAACAAGTATACAAGACGAGAGTGGATGGGAGAGTTGGAAGGGGTCAACCTCAGCGAACGTACCTCAATGAGATTGAGGACGTTTTTAGCAAAGGCCAGCTTAGGAGCACCCTAATTAAGTTAATAACAATGTACCTGCCTATATAGTTTAAGTTTAAAAAATTTGGCTCTCAAGAGAAATTTCAATCGTTGTACTGTTGATATTTGGCTCTGTTGACTAATGAGTTTGCCCACCACTGGCCTAAAACAACTGTCCCCCACTCACTTCATTTAGATCTCTTCTCAAATAAATGTCCCCTTATCAGAGAAGCTGAGCTTGATCACCCTATCTAAAATATTTTCTCTCCCCTTAACGAGCTTTGTCTTTCTTCATAGCTCTTATCACTACTTGAGATATATACGCTTGTTAATTTTCTTTCTTCATCCACTATAGTAAAATCTCAATATAACGAAAGGACTAATTTGGATGGGGGGGGGGGGTGTCTGTTAAAGCCAAAAGTCCCTTATGTAATAAAGTAGTTTTTCCGAATGCATGTATTACAAAATTGACCAACTAATTTACCTGTTTTTACTTATGTAGACACATTTGTGTGATAAAAATTAAGTAACGTATGAAAAGTTTAACTTCACAGAAAAGTTTTCTATATGTATTACTGTTATTTTAAGTTTATACTGAATAGGTCTAGTAAATGCTTGCATTCACCAGTCACTGGGAGTAAACAAATACACATGGTTGGGGCGTGGCTTAGCCCATTTGTTAAAACTGATTTAGGAAGTCACACCACAGGACAACAGAACCAATTACCACACAGGATGCAGTGTGATCACATGGTAATCACTTGCCGAATATTGTTTACGAGAGGTGATTATTAGATCTAACTATGTAGTCTATAGTTGTAGACATGTAATAGTTATTGTCTGTGAAATTACTACAGTGGTTTTTTTCCCAACATATGGCCTATTCTGTTAAATTTGTTAAAAATAACGGTGATTAATAACAACAACAAAAAATAACCTATTACTTTCATTATAAGCAAATCTTGGCTAAAATCATTTTGAAATTAACAGGGTGCTAATTTTCACATAGGACATACGGAAATTTTGTCCATTAAATCGAGGTCTACAAAATGGAGGATTTACTGTACACAGTAACTTCAGAAGCATAAGGACTTTATTGGCCGGGATGGTATTCCCAGCACCTGGAACACTGCCTGGCACATTGAAGGCAGCCGATAAACAGCTGTTGAATGAGTAGATGGATGTTCACAGCTTCGCAGAGCACATTCCCTCTTGGCCTCAGCACCATCCACCAGCCTTGCAGCAGCCACTGCCTCGGCGCCATCCAGAGCATCCATCCCTCTTCAGGCTTCCCTGGTGAAGTGGTAGGAACACCTAGTTTACCAGTCAGAAGCCGGGTACCAGCAGTGACAGTACCATCTTCATTAAGCTCTTCACACAGTGCTCTCTGACTCAGTTTCTAAATGAATACAGTACATCTAGCCCTCACAATGCTGGATAAAGGACAAAAAATAAAGAATGTAGCTCTAACCCTGCTTTTAAGACAAAATGATACTAATGGACTGCACAGCAAACATCACATTGCACGTATTCTGATAGAAGTTACAAGGAACTTGGTAGTCTGAAAAACCACAAAATTTTCCCTTTACAAGTTTTCAGAGTATCGGAGTAAATGGACAAATGCAACAAAGTAGGCTGTCAATAAATATAGTCAAAAAATTAGGTGACGAGTGACTTGGCCCAACACACACACACACTCTGGAGCACTAGCACGGACTGCTTCCTAAATACACCTAACGGTATTTCCAAGCCGGAAGTGTCCAGCTAAGTGAAATTCAGCCCCATTCAATGTCCCACCAGCGTCCACGCGTGTGGCAACTTTGGAGAACATTTTATAACCGCACTTCAACCTTCTGTCTGCAATACGTGACTCTTGGTAAAGTTTTGGCAGTTGATAATTCCTGTAGAAAAAAATAATCTTGAACCAAAGAACCTCGGTATCTCCCCATCTGAGGAAGCCTGGGAGTACAGGTTACACCCCGAGCTCCCAGCACCCCCACGTCCGGGTGTGCTGAGGGAGGGACACATGGGCCCTGCCCCGCCAGGGAGGCGGGAGCTGCCCGGCAGTGGGCCAGGCCCTAGGAGGGAGGTGTCCGGACAAAACGCGCCGCCGCGCTAGGGAACCTCCGGGCCGGGGCCAGCAACCCGCACCCGGGAAGGACCAAGCCAGCCCCCGACTCTGACGCCGGCCCTGGCCTGCCGGGGGCTCGCGTCCCCGCAGACGGAGGTCCTACCTGAGCTCTGCCCGCGGCTGCGGGGCTGCGGGGGGAGGCGGGAGGAGGCGTGGCCTTCCAGCGCGCCCCGGCGAACTCCCTCGTGCGGTCCGAGTGACTTTCGCTCTCGGGATCCGCGCCCCGAACAAGTTCAAGTTGCACTTCCGGGGTCCGCGCGAGGCTGAAGAGTCATCACGCACGCGACCGCGCCAAATCCGGAAATGGGCGGGGCGTGGCCGCCGGCCGGGTTCCTGTGGCGCTGGGCGGGCTGGGAGCGGGGCCTGGGGCGGCTCGATTGGTCTTGCGGGCTGTGCTCGCCCCGCGCTCACTTTTCCGAAGGGCGGGACGCCACTCCCTGGAGCCACCGCGGAGCCCGGTTCTTCCCGCGGCATTTGAGTAACAATCCCTGAGTGTGCCTGCAGCTACTGCCCTCCCCGCCGCTGTGGTGTAGCCCCCTTTAGCGATCCATTCACCTCCGGAAGAGACCGGAGGTGGTAGAGAAGAGGAATGTACCTCTCAATTACCATTCAGATAAAGCTGGAAGTTAAGGGCGGGTGCCCCGAGCCTGCTGTTTTTCCTGTTTGCCGAACGCAGGCATAGCTTGGAGACATTGCAGGTTCTGTTCGAGACCACGGCAATGAAGTGTGTCCTCGTCTTTTTCTTGGCGGAGGGTCTTGCCTTCAGTTTGCAAAAACATGTAAAATGGGGGTATGCCTAGATTGGAAACAGCGGTGGAAAGCTATAGCCACATTGCTATCCGGGTTTGCTCCTCGGCCCTTGGGGCAAAAATCCCTGAAAGTAAAAATTACCCATGAAAATGCCCTAACTCAGTGGTTCTCAACCTTCCTAATGCCGTGACCCTTTAATACAGTTCCTCATGTTGTGGTGACCCCCAATTTCATTGTTACAAATTGAACATAATTAAAGCATAGTGATTAATCACAAAAACAATATGTAATTATATATGTGTTTTCCCATGGTCTTAGGCGACCCCTGTGAAAGGGTCGTTTGACCCACCAAAGGGTACGTGACCCACTGCCCTAACTGATCCACAGAATACATGCTGTTAAGTGTAAATTTTAGATCTTTAATTCTTGTGCACTATTGAAGGTGAGGTCTCATAGCTAGTTTAAATGTTAATGAAAGGAGAGTTTGTGTGTAGATATCAGGGCGTTTAAACAATCCTGATAAATCCTTAGAGCAACTCAGTCTTCTTACTTGACCATTCAACAGCGTTTGACACAGTTAAGCACATCCTTGTTCTTGAAACATTTTTTTTTTCCATTTGACTTTTTGAAATCACAGTGCTCTTTTGATTCTCCTTCGCTGGATTCTTTCTGATTTCTAAATGTTAGTGTGGCCCAGATCACATCCCCTCTTTATCCGACCTCCTTCCCCAGGTGATCTCATCCCTTCTCTTCATTGTCTTTCATATGGCATCACCATGCTGATGGCTTCTAAATATCCACAGCCAGCCCTGCCTTCATGGAGTTCTGTATTCATATATCTAACTTCTTGTTCAACATAACTACTAAGGTATTTAACATGCAATTAAAACTCCATATTTTCTACCTCCAAAACCTGTTCTGTTGCACATCTTCCCATCTCAGTAAATGGCACGTTGATTCTTAAAATTGTTCAGGTCATCCTTTGATTTCTTTTTCTCTGACATTCCACATCCAATCTCTCAGAAAAATCTGTTGGCTCTCTTTTCAAAAGGCAGTTCTCACTGGATGCTGTAGTAGTCTCTTACTTATTCTACAGGCTACTATTCTTGCCTCCCTATAGTCTAGACTCCTACTGTCAGCTGTAGAAATCCTTTTAAAATGCAAATCAGAATTTGTTCCTTTCCTCTTCAAAACCTTTAAAAGCTTCCTACTCAAAATAGAATAGGGAATTGTTTCCATAAATCTATAACATCTGACCCCTGTCCACCCCATGCCTCCACTAAAGATGAGGGTGGTAAGAGATTTGGGGTAGAGGATGGGGAGCAGGAAAACTTGTCCAATAACCTTGGATAAGGGAAAACAGGAGTCCCAAAAGTGATTGACAACTCTTGAGTGGAAATATTTAAAGGCAAGACACTGACTAAGGGTACCTGTGATGATAGAGTAAAAAGATAAGAACAGTCAAGTTTTCCCAACATCATGTAGACATGTTAGCAAATGGTTCTATGTATTAGTTTTCTATGGCTTTCTTGGCAGTATAGTGAGTCCTCACTTAACATCCATTGATAGTTGTAGTTGGAAACTACAACTTCAAGCAAAGCAAGGTATAATGAAACAAATTTTACCATAGACTAATTGATATAAATGAGATAAGTTCTTAGAGTATACTTCTGATCACAAAAACATCACCAAACTTCTAAATAAAGATGCAAACACTTCCAATAATCCACATTGGAATAAATGTGAATGAGCTGTATATACATTTAAGAAAGACTAATAAAAACAAGTGAAATAATTATTTTCTAACCTGCTCAGTGTTGTGGGCAGCCAGAGTCTATCGCATCAGCTCAGGGAACAAGGCAGGAACCAACCCTGGGCAGAATGGCAGTCCTTTGAAGAGCTCACTCTCACCGTGGGATAATTTAGACCTGCCAGTTAACTTACTGTGTACATCTGTGGGACAAAACCAGAGTACCTAGAGAACACCCGTGAAGGCAGGGGAAAATTAGCTAACTCCTCATAGACAGTGACCCCAGCCAGGAATCATTTTTTCCCCTCACCAATGTTATAATGAAATGATGTTGAATAAAACGATGTTATTCAAGGACCTTCTGTATCTCGAACTAGGTGGCTAAAACAACAGAAATTGTCTCAAATCTGGGGATTAGAAATCAAAATCAAATTAAGGTACAGGGTTGTTTCCTTCTGAGGACTGTGAGGAAGAACTTGTTCCGTGCCTCCCTTCTAGTTTCTAGTGGTTTGAAAGCAATCTTTCATGCCCCTTGATTTGTAGATGCATCACCCACATGTCTGCCTTCATCTTCAGATGGCATTCTCCTTATGTTCTGGCTCTGTGTCCAAATTTCTCCTTTTTATAGAGATAACAATCATATTTGGGGGGGGGCACCCTTATGAGCTAATTTAACTAATTTTAACTTGATTAATGTTCTAATTATCAAATAAGGTTACATTCCTACATACTGGGATGAGGACTTCAATATATCTTTTGGGAAGGGGCATAATTCAACCCGTGACACTAGGGTAGAATTGCTTTGAAAGGAGAGAAGCAACTCCAATAGAAAGAAGGGAGAAGCATACCAACCAGAAGAACCAGGTTGTTTAAGCCACCAGAAGATGGGCCACATAGAAATTTTTAGGTGCTCAGTGGAGCATGCATCTCATGGATCAGGGAATGGCAATATTGAAGTTCCTGGATTTGGGTGAATCTCCAAAAATGTATCAAAGGACAGAAAGCACCAGCATTGGATATTTGCTACAGAAGGGACAACGACCTCAATTTACAAAAGCCTTTTCTTCGCACACCTAAACTGACCCCGAAGGAGCTCAAAGTAAAACTAGTGTGGGACATAGACAAGTAAAAGGTGGAGGAACTAGGACAAAATAGATCATACCCTCTTCCTTTCAACCATATTTGTGGGTGACTCAGGCCTAGAAGATGTTTTAAAGTGATTTAGAGGTTTCCAGTTCAATATGTAAAGAGTTTAGAACTTGAAAATCAGTCACTCCCATCCTGACAATAAGAAAAAGCTATACAAACAGAAAGTCAACAACTCTTCTTAGATCTGTCTGAGAATTGTCACAGGGCAAACTGCTGTCCCCCCACAACTGTAGAGACAGGTGGATAAAGAGAAGCACAACTTACTGGGAGCAGAAGCCAGCAGTGGGAGCCAGTATGGGTAGGAACACTTTAAAACTGTGATTAATGAGTTGTTGGGCTAGATCAGTGATGGCGAACCTTTTGAGCTCCGCGTGTCAGTGTTTTGAAAAACCCTAACTTAACTCTGGTGCCATGTCACATATAGAAATTTTTTGATATTTGCAACCATAGTAAAACAAAGACTTATATTTTTGATATTTATTTTATATATTTAAATGCCATTCAACAAAGAAAAATCAACCCAAAAAATGAGTTCGCGTGTCACTTCTGACATGCGTGTCATAGGTTCGCCATCACTGGGCTAGATTGAGAGTTAAAAACTCCAAGTAATCACAGTTGTGTGAGGGAAGGTGGAGAGTGGCACCCACACTTTTCTAAGTTTTGCCTCCAGGAGCTCTGCCAGGTTCTTACAATGAAGATAGCAAAATCTTCTGACAGTGGGAGAGGAAAAGTGATCTTTATGAAATATTCCCAGAGCTCTCTGTTTTCCATAACAACGCCTGCCTTATAAGGGGAACTAATTTACCAGAGCCTACCCAACTGGGGATTTACCAATCTAGAAAATGGATATACTCAACATCAGCCTTTTCTAGCCTTCCAAATAAAGGAAAAGTAGACAACATTCATGAACAGAAGGGCACTGTAAACAGAGCGATGAAAACACTAAGAAAGAATCAAAAGGAAATATTAGAAATCAAAAACACTATAACAGAAATGAAAAGTATATAAGTGATTGAACACAAACAAGAAAAGAATCTGGGTTGAGGATATGTCAATAGAAACTTCCAAAACTTAAATGCAAAGAGAAGAAAAGAATGAAAGAGGTGGAATAGACTATCCAAGAACTGTGGGAAAATTAAACAAGGCGTTACATATGCTTAATGGGAATAACAGAAGGAGAAGAAAGAGAGAAAGGAACAAAAGGATTATTTGAAATAACAATGACTGAGAATGTTTCCAAAATTAATGACCCACAAACCCACAGATCCAGGAAACTCAGAGAATTTCAAAAATGATAAATACTAAAAACAAACAAACAAAAAAACTGTATGTGGGCATATATTTTTTAAGAGCAGAAAGCCAAGGACAGAGAAAATCTTGAAAGAAGCCAAAGGTCAAACAAACAAACAAACAAACAAAAAACAGCCTTGCCTAGAAAGAAAAAGGATAAAAATTACATTGGACTCCTTTTGAGAAACTATACAAGAAGAGAGTAGAATGAGATATTTAAAGTGTTGGGGAAAAAAAACCAACCTAGAATTCTATATACAGTGAAATTATTCTTCAAAAGTAGAAAAGAAATAATAGCTCTCCATAAGAAAAAATTGAGGAAAATTGTTACCAGT